GCTGGAATGCGGTGTCGCTAACCTAACGCGGTGATTACATCATAATTTCAGGTTCTCCTGTACTACTAAAATTGCTACAGCAAACGTAACGGAGACACGAGGAATTCATTCTTGCCATTTCAGCGACTGCAGCTGTAGTTCAGTTTGCATTTTCAGGCAAAGGTTCCTAAATTATCATAGCAAGTTATAAGTCACTATTTACCCCACCCAATGGTGGAACCCTAAGTCTGATGCGAACTGTATTGGGGAAAGCCCTACAAGAGCGAATTCTGTACTTATGTACGGCACAAAAACAGAGCCGTGCCTCTATTCGTGGGTCAAGTCTTGTCTTGTCAGGAGCGATATCCTCCTTCCCGTCGGAGCTGACAGCTGGGAGCAGCAGAGGGGCTGCCGCCGGGCCTCAGACTTCAACATACTCGACCAGCGGTTAAGCCCATTTGCCGCCAGGAGCGCAAAGGTGCAGTTTTCGCATTTTCACGATTCGGCCTCAGCTGTACCCGACACGGTGAACAGGCCAATGGTTCAAGTCAAACACGGGAAGTTGGGAAAAGCAACAGGCGGGAATAAGAAATGATCGTTTTGACTGACCTACTTAAGTTCTTGCTCATTTGAGACTTTCTGGGCCGTTGTTACGTTCGTGTACCGACAGAATGTACAGTAGATGACAAAGATGCTGTCACTCATCATTAGTCTCAAGTTTTGAATGCCGGTATTTTGTTTCACTCAATTGTGCGCGGCTGTTGTGATTGACAAAGCTGACAAACAATTGCTAGCGCAAGAAACCTGTTTTCCACCCTGCTGTTATATCGCGATACTCTTGGTTGACATCATCTTATCATCTGAACTGGGCCATTCATTGAGCTCCATTCGAACAACTTGTCATGAACTAGAGCGAAGAAATGCATGGTCCCAAATGTCTTGGATTGATGGCTAGATAAGAGCCTTTCTTTTGTCTGCAGTTATTTTGCCAGTGCACAAAACAAGGCTCGGATGACTTTGGTGTGGAAGACCAAAGCCCTCAAACACTTTTAGATCCAGAACATGGCAAACTCTAAGTCGAGAGAAGCCCAATTTAAGATGACCTTTTTGAAGGCCACTTCGATAAAATTGAAGACCCTGTGATCACTAAATACAATTTGAGAATGGAGAATATTTGTCTATTCAGCTGACTGTTGACTCTGTATCGCCCAGATTTGAAACAAATAACTAACTTGTACTTTCTGAAAGATAATAACTTTTTCAACCCTGCTAGCAAGAATTAAAAAAAATGATGGTCTGCTAAAGTGGGATTTATACACATTTTGGAAACGTTTGATACATCTATGCTTCTTTACTCGTCAACAAACCACATGTGGACCAAAAACACACCCCAACAATTTGTGGAAAGTCCTTCCAGAGTGGAAACCGTTTTAGCTGAAAGGAAGGAACTCCACTTTCCACTTCTGTAGGTAGAATGGCCACGGTGTCCCAATAGTTTTGTCCATTTAGTTGACTGTTTTGCCCTCATGTGTCACAACTTTCAATCCAAACTGGCACTTGTTTCTCTTCACACACCCATGCATATGCTTAAGGTCAACTGGGCGGGCCCACATCCCAAACGGCGCTGCTGTTGTCACGGCAACAAGCAGCTATCCTGGCTAACATCTGCTGCGCGACCCCGGGCTGCTCGGAACGGGCCTTAATCCCCGCACGGAGCTGTGTTGTGGGGGAAAACATTCTTTTCTTTTTTTTTTGGGGGGGGGGGGAGAGAGGGAGAGAGAGAGAGAGAGAGAGAGAGAGAGAGAGAGAGAGAGAGAGAGAGAGAGAGAGAGGACAAACAGGCCCATCCATGTTGCTGGTAACCTGCAGGCGAGTGGATCACACAGTGTTGTCTGTTGGGTGGCCCCGATACCCCCCCATCCCTTCTCCTACCCCCTCAATGCAACATTATGGCTATGCAGAGGGGTGTGACAGCCAGCTTTCGGCAGTGAGTTGCCATCGGCGGTCCAGTTGGATGGATTTGGGCTCTGGGGTTAATGAAAGGTCTGGCGAGCTGGCCTTGGTTTAGGTATGCCATAACGACATCACTTTGATTAGCGTTGATTTGCACCCAAAAATGTGAAGAAAAAAAAAGATCTGCAGACAACAAACATGTTGTGGTCACTTTTCGGTGAATGTGAATTTCTTACTGCTCTGTGAAAACAGTGAAAAGCATTTTTTTTTTTTAAATAGACGTGGTATCCATTTTAAGGTGCTTGTACTCGTATGCTTTTTGTCGTTAGCAGGACAACATCAGCATACTTGTAGGAGAACTGTATGACCAAATCTAGCTTTTTATTTTGTTGGTAGGTTTGTTTTTAATTTTTTTTGTGATTTAGCTTCTTGCTTTATGTACACTAGAATGTAAATCCTGACCAAAAAAATATGTGCAGAAGTTTAAACAACCCAGAATTACAGTTAATGTGACCCAGCATTTGGGGACAATATTTAACAAACACTTGTCGTTGAAACAACCCGAGAATTTATTTAATGTCATCAAACATTGGGATAAAATTGACCAACCGGTCCTGCTGGATCAAATTAACCCTTTGATCCACCTTGTAACCTGATAACATGATAAGCTGTCCACCCGAGTTAATATAAATGCTCAAACAGCTTTCCATCAAGACATGTAAAGTCAGCATGGAGCAGGTTAGTGTCCTCTAGTGGCAACCCTAAAAATAAATTAAAAAAAAAAAAAACACTGAAAAAACACAAACAAAACAAACAATTTTAGACCCAAAGTATCCCTGTGAGGTCTAAAATTACAAGTTGACATATCAAAAACAAGCCGAGCCTCGCTAATATTCTGATAAGCATCTCCTCCGGGGAGGAGATCCGCAGTGGAGAAATGAAGATGCCGCGCCGTCAATCAGTCCATCTGCAGCTATGAAATATGCATTTGTCTTAATATGGAGTTTGATTCCATCAAAAGCCATTTCACGGACCGTTTGCTTATGCAAACGCCTTTGGGAGACAGACAGCAAGAGAGAGGGAGTGTGGTCGAGGCTCACTTGGAAGAAGAAACACACCTCCAGCATACTGGAGTGTGTGTGCGCGCGTGCGCGCGCGCATGTGTGTATGAGGAATTTTAATTGAATAGTTCTGCATCAGTGCCAAGAAGTTACTTGGTGTGTTTGCAGAGGCTTGCGTTCTCTCCGACTGTCAACGCGCAAGCCCGTTTTCCCTCCCACATACACACAAGAGAGCTCAGCAGTGGAGTGGTCCGTTTCGCAACCCGGTGGTTCGTGGTCCGATCCTTGACCACTGCAACCATGTCAAAGTGTCCTTCAGCAAGACACTGAAACCCGAGGTTGCTCCTGGTGCTGCATCACCAGCAGGTGAAGGGGGTCACAGTGTGAAACGCTTTAAGTATCTGCTTCGCAAAATCTGCTCAGGTTTCATCCAACGACAATTAGAGGAGCTCAAATGGGACTCCACACGACAGATGAGGAAACATACTTTGGATTAAACGGCAACCAAGCTTCTAGGTCCACGTTTGTCTCCAACTAACACCAAAACACGCAATCCTGCTGCCTGACAGGCCATCAGAGCTCATCTACAATGGTACATGGTGAGCTGTGTTGATTGTGGTCCTGCACTGACACCTAGTGGGATATAACACGAGACTGTAGTCCCAATTTTAGCAGCAGAGCAACTATCCATTTTAGACAGGGACATGACAGTAATACCGAGAGACCCGCTATGACCTACTACACAGGCGGAGATGGGGTAACAGCAATCTGGTCACGTCTGCTGGAACACAGAGACACCATAGTCTACCGGAGCAGATAAAAAGCTGATGTTGGGTGTCCTCCCGGTTATACAATATCTCTCTCCCCCGGCTGTCGACGTGACGGTGGTCTCGCTCAGGTGCGCCCTTCAGGCCCAAGTGGAGGAGCAGAATAGGATAGGCGATAAAAAGAAGAAAAGGTGGTGAGAGGAGGGAGGTGAAATGACAATGGAGGCAAAAAGGAGGTGGAATGAGGAAAATCAAGCGAGCAACGCACCGGAATCCTCAGCTGAACTTTTCCCAACGTCACTTCAGACTGGCTCCAAGGGACAATAAGAGACACTTCACTGGTTGTTTTTACAGAAAAAACAAAGAGATGCACGCGGCCAGGGGGGCAGTATAAGACAGCCATTCGGAAATACATCGCGACAGATAACAGGAGTAATAATACTCTTCTGAGACGATTAAGAATATATGTCTGGGAATATGGTTATATTATCTGTCAACTAGACCATTTGTGTTCAAATCCAGTCAAACAACCACATAGCTTTGCTTTAATGAGGTCAATTTAGCTTAATACTAATAATCAATGCAAAACAACACAGACAAGCTAACAAAAAGCATCGGTGTCATGTGTGATAACCATTTGAAGGGATATTTAAACACAAATGATGGAGCAACATGTGAAGGCAGACACTACAATATGGAAAATATTTTCTACAGTATTTTAGGTTTTTATAGTATTTTCGGTTGTAATTTTTTGGTGTTCAAATGTCTTTAAAAAGTGTGCTTTTATTTGTTTAAAATGTGATTCAATTGTGTGAAATGGGTAAAACTCCTTTTGGGTTTGGAATACATCAATCCTAAAAAAAAATGGGGTTCACTGAATGCTTCCAAAATTTGTAAAATGGTTTTAATGAAGGTCCTTTCTGCTTCCCAGCGCACAAAGCAAGGTCCATGAAAGCACATTTGGCTGACTTTAGTGTGGAAGGTCTGACATCTCCGTCTGTTTGAGAATTCGTACACTGCCCATATGCACCGTGTCTTCTTCTGTGTTTTTCCGTCATGTATGTGGCAGAAGTACAGCCATATATCGTTTTGAATGTATCATGTATTTGTTTTCCCAGCGATGTTCCTGACACAACATCGCCTTGACATATACAAGATGTAAGAAAACATTTTCATGGGTGTGTGGCCAGAAGGGCATAGGTGAATTGATAAGGCCATAAAATATGGATGAATGCTCACCTGGCAGGTCTTAGCTTAAACAAGGATTGCAGCAACACTTAGGCTTTGGCTGACGACAACAACAGTAAAATCATCTGCAAAGAGATACACAGAAAATAATAAATAGGATTGCATACGTATCACTATGGTGCACATATTTTGGGGTTGAACTGTATTGTAAATGGTATTTTTCTTATCGACTTGTGACGACTGGTCCAGAGACATTAAGCGTTACATTTGGCAAAACAAATACACAACAAAATAAGGAAGTTGACAATCAGAAGTGATTAAAGTTGCTAAACTGGTTATGCTTAACCCACTTACAGTCCAGGATGTTTCCGTCGAGTCGTCTTTCAGGTGTTTTACGGCAATGCTTGCCCGTCCAACTTTAGCTGAGTTCGTTCAACACTTTCATGGTGCACGACATAGAACGTCATTTAAACGACCCGCTTTATCAGCTAACATGTACACTTACACCGCGTGGACGTCGAACGTCCCACTGTAGCGAACAAAACACGACAGGCTTCACTCTGTCTAAAGTTTGCTATAAATTAGCTCCCACGTTGCTAAATGCCAACCGCTGCGGCGACATTAGCGTCGCTAGGCAACAAGCCGTGCTACCCGTATAACGTGCTAGCGAGCGTGACTTACGGAATCAATTACAGCGGCCGGTGGAATTAACTGGCACTTAACTCATGTTTCTAAGTATCTTCCATACGATAATTGTTGCAAAGCACGTCACTTGTGGCTGCTTTCTAAAACACAAAATATGATGAAAATTTTCACAACTACACTTCCCAGAATTATCGACGTTCTCGCCGCAACTCTCGCGATAGATCAGATTTTTTTTTTTCGGGGCGTGAGGGGATGATGTCCCACACCAGGCTACATCAGTGTTGAACTTGAAGCTGTGGACAATATGGTGAGTAAAAGCAACTAATACTGATTAGCTTGTTATGATGATACTAGTGCAGCGTGTACTACTGGAGACAAATTCCTTGTGCGTTCTACATACTTGGCCAATAAAGATGATTCTGATTCATCCTGTATCAACGTAGAAAATTTAAGTTTTGACAGTTTGTCATTGAAGTCATGATTTGAAAAAGTGATTTCAAGCTGATACACGTATGATTCCATTATGAAACACCAGTCAAGCTGTACAGTATAGTGAATGGCACACCGCAATGTTAAGAGTTAAGTCTTGGTAGAAAGTTTCTTTGAAATTGTGTAACGTGAATTTTAACTGTTGCTCGTAAATTGCTGTTTTCCTTTTATGTAACGTATGTAAAGGGAAAGCTAACAGAGACTATATTTGAAGTAACCTGTATATATGTTAATCCTGTTTGAACAAGAATGGTGACAACACCCACTGGAAGTGTACTACCTCCTGCTTGCCTACCTGCCCTATAGATCCGCCCTTGTGTGTGTAAATCAATGGTAATTGTACTAACGCCTGTTTTCTCTGCACCCACCACCCATTGCAGGCTGAGCCAATTAGAGTTCTGGTGACTGGCGCTGCAGGGCAGATTGCCTACTCGCTGTTGTTCAGCGTTGCCAAAGGAGATGTCTTTGGCAAAAATCAGGTAAAGTAGCCCTTGTAGTCATTCGTACTCTCCATATCTTATTGGGGCGTGTCATGAGACTGAAACACTTGTCACAAAAAACCTGTGTGGGTGATGTTGGCAGTTGCGCTTATGAGATTTGATCAGCGCACACAAGGGAGGATCGTCCTTGAATCTTAGTGAAATGGATCTAGTGCCAAGCACCTCAGGCTATAATTTAAAATCACTCATTCAGAATGCGTTGCACTGCTTGCTCACAGGGTTCCAGACCATCCAAACTGGTCTTGATTTCCTGTATGGCATGATTTTAGTTTTCCATTTGTTTGCTGTCTTTCATACAAGCCAATCACGCTGCTCCTCCTGGATATTCCGCCCATGATGACTGTCCTGGGAGGTGTTGTCATGGAATTGCAGGACTGCGCCCTCCCTCTTTTGAGAGGTAGCCATTTAACTACAGTCTATGCATCAGGGATAGTGAAAGAGCCCTGCTCTGGGTAGCAAAAATTCACCAATAATGCCGTCTTGGTGCCAAGGAATTCTACAGAAGTTAGTTGGTTGAGGAGCCTCGTGTAGTGCTTTGTTGTTTACTTTTGGATTTTCACTTTTGTTGACAAGGTTTGGTCCGTATCCCCACACTGCAGAACAATATCGATGTATACATCGGTAGATTCATGCCAAGATTCTCCTCCGTCGCAGAAATCGTGGCCACCGACAAAGTGGAAGTGGCCTTCAAGGACCTGGACGCCGCCATCTTGGTAGGCTCAATGCCCAGGAAGGAGGGCATGGGGAGGAAAGACCTGCTCAAAGCCAACGTGGCAATCTTCCAGACTCAGGGAGCAGCCCTGGACAAGTACGCCAAGAAGACCGTCAAAGTAGTAACACCAGGACTGCTCAGTTATGCCTCTTTGAACGTCTTTGTCAAATGAAGGACACAGATTGTGATACTTTCAGGTTCTGGTGGTCGGAAACCCAGCAAACACCAACTGTCTGATTGCAATGAAGTCTGCTCCCTCCATTCCCAAGGAGAACTTCTCATGCCTCACCCGCCTCGACCATAACAGGGCTCGCTCTCAGGTATGTTTTTTACGGGATTCTACTTCCTGTGACCGTTTAATAAATTATGCTATGCAAAATCAATTTCCAATTTCCCAGTTGTATTTATTAAGGCTGCCTGTCACGGTCTCAGTCTGCGTGCTTGTCCCACAGGTTGCGATGCGCTGCGGCGTGCCTGCCACCCATGTCAAGAACATGATCATCTGGGGCAACCACTCGTTCACGCAGTACCCGGACGTGCACCACTGCAAGGTTAACGTGTCCGGCAACGAAGTGGACTGCTTTGATGCCGTCAAGGACGAGGCCTGGCTGAAAGGGGATTTCATCGCTGTGAGCAAACCATTGTAGTGATTTTTAGATGGGTTTTTTTTCCCCTCCCTAATCACTTGGAATTAGTCAATCAGGACACTTTCTCTCTGGTTTGTTTTTGCCAAATTTTGGAAAATGTTTTTCCCTCTGGCCAAAGTTATCGAAAAAGTCAGTTTTCAGTGACAGAATGCATGGGGGGGAGGGGGGGGGATAATTTTGTTTCCAAATCCTTGCTTGTGTGGACACGTCCCAGCGTGTGTGTTAATGTCGTCCATGTTGCTCCACCGCAGACGGTGCAGCAGAGAGGCGCTGCTATCATCAAGGCCAGGAAGCTGTCCAGCGGCATGTCTGCAGCCAAGGCCATCTGTGACCACATGAGGGACATCTGGTTCGGCACCCCGGAGGTATAAACCGTCTCCAGCCTATTTGCTCATTTTTACACTGTGGGGGATGGAGTGAAGAATGCACACAGAATGTATACTTGGGGTGACTCTTCTAAACAAATTTGTCCTTTTAATCCAGGGTGAGTTCATTTCCATGGGTGTGTACTCTACGGGTAACACCTACAAAGTCCCAAATGACCTCATCTACTCCTTCCCTGTCCAGATCAAGGTGAGCATGCTTACACACACATTGGAGTGGCCTCAGTACATACTGTACTGCCCCCCTTTGGTGTCCATGCCTTCAATATTTACTTTCCCTAGTACCGTATTTTCTGGACTATAAGTCGCAGTTTTTTTCATAGTTTGGCTGGGGGTGCGATTTATACTCTGGAGCGATTTATGGGTGAAATTATTAACTCATTATTATATCATTTCTCATGTTATTTTCACTTTTAACCACAAGAGGCCGCTCTAGACCAGTGTTGCTAAAACCACAATGAGTCTGACGTAAGCGACGTAGAAGAGGAAGCGCTGCATCTTCTACCTCCGGAGTTGGTGGAGTTGTTTTAAAGTGACACAGAGGATGAAGATTTCATTGGATTTAGTGATTTGGAGTGACATTGATGGTTTGGTGAACTTGTTAGCATGTTCTTTATGCTATAGTTATCTGAATAACTCTTAATGTTACTTGAACATACCAGGCACGTTCTCAGTTCGTTGTTTATGCGTCATGTAAGGGTAGCATGTCATACACTTATTCAGCGTGTTGTTTTCTATTTTATTTTAATTTTAAATTGCCTTTCAAGATGGCATGTATGTTCTTGGTGGTGGATTTTATCAAATAAATTTCCCCCCAAAATGCGACTTACACTCCAGTGCGACTTATGTATGTTTTTTTGTTCTTTATTATGCATTTTATGGCTGGTGCGACTTATAGTCCGGAATACGGTAACTAATTGTACTCATGGTGTAATTCATGCATTTGGGTATATATATATTAAAAATGTTAAGTGGCTTGCCCAGCACTGGTTGTTTGTTGTGGCCCTACTGTACTTGGAATATTGCAGCTTATTCATTACCGGTAATTAAAATGCTATCTCTGTGTCCTCAGAACAAGTCCTGGAAAATAGTGGAGGGACTGGCCATCAACGACTTCTCCAAGGCCAAGATGGAGGCCACAGCCACAGAGCTGATAAATGAGAGGAACACAGCTATGGAGTTCCTGGCCAAGTGACTACGTTTTGATGCTCGCCTATGATAAAACACTCCCTTCACTGTCGTTATGTTCCTCTTTTGCATGTGCATATGAAGGAGATGTAGTGTGTTTTCTTGCTACTTTGGGAGGGGTAAGGGGACGCTTTGGTACTAAAATGGATCCCAATTGTACCTGGCTGGCTTTGTTGCTGCTCTGCAGATGTGCACTCTTTAAATGTTACAAGCACAACACCTTCACTTTTGGTTTGGTTTCTTCGACTTTCAGGTTCTATCAGCCTCCCTCTTAAAGGGCTTAAGCCTCCTGGCTGCTCTGAACACTGCTGTCCAAACCTTTACTGTAGATCTTTTGTCATGAATGACTACACGCCATGAGGCACTTCAGTGTGAGCGTTAGGTCCATACAGTAATTTGTCACCTGTGGCTTTTCATTTCATTTTGTTGCATGCAGTTAAGTGGTGTTAAAAAAAAAAAAACTTAAATCCTAACCATTCAATGTTGTAACACTAAAAGATCTGAACTGTATTAGGCTTGATTTGATGAGCTTACCAAATTCCAATAAACAACATGTGTTTAGGTTTATTTGTTTCAGTAATTAACTTCCCTTCCTGGTTATCTCCTGCGGTGCCACCAAAAGAAAAAAAAAATCTCTGAAAATTAGATGACATCTCACTTTGAATGTAGCATGTTGAAATGTGGCCTACAAAACATGAGGTCATATGATTCGTGCTGTAAAAAGCATAGCCCTGTGAAAGATATGATTTATGGTCTACTGTAGGGGTCATGTTTTCCATCTCTCCTGCTGCAAAACACCTAATTCAAATGGTCAAGATTGTTTTCCAGCTTGTGCAGACCTTGCTGATCATCTGAGCTGTTGCCGATAGCAGCTCTTGGATGAATGTGCATTCTGTTACCGCCTGCAGAGATAGTGCAAATAAAGTGCTTCTGCAATGGTGTCGTCCTTTAAACACAAACGAGGGTGTTGCAATATTAATATCGTGCAATATCTACATGACACTGGGGAGGGCCAGGATTTGCCTATTTTCCCACCAAGGGTACAGAGCTGATAATATTTGAAAATTACAGTACATTACATTGATCATAAATTACTGGCAGACCTATTTTTTCCTCAATATTTAAGCATCCTAGGAAGAGCCATATAAAGCTAAGCTATGATCATTTTTAATTAACATGATTATTACGGAATGCCTTTCCATACTTATTTGTCTTGTCCTTGTTTATCGCAGTTGCTTGTTATTGATGATACTAGGGTAGACTGTACTAACGGAGACAAATTACTTGTGTGTTCTACATACTAGGCCAATAAAGATTATTCTGACTTTAATATCGATTAAAACGACACTCATCCCAACACAAATTTAAAATATGTGGATATTTTTTTTATAAGCCGGAAATGTGTGTAATTGTGTTGCACAAACTCATTGGCTCTTGGCAAATACAGCACAGAAACAACGTACTCTGATTGGCCTTGCTCCACTCTTACCAGCCTCCCAATTTCTTTCTTGAAATGTCTTCTCCTTGCTTCACATAAACCCATTGGCGCTTGGCAGTGACGTCACGTAGACACCACACTCTGATTGGCTTTGACTGGCGATGAAAGGCACCAATTCCTTCCCGTTTGGAATGTCACTCTTATAGAGGGGAGGAAAAAAAACTAATCAGCTATTTCTTTCTTTTTTCTCACAAGTTCCGCACGTATTTTCTATTTTTTTAACACAACCAGCTAGCCTGGTATGTTGAGCTATAAAAGCCACACAGAGGAAATTAATGTTCGTGTCAGTGTAGTGGTGTGAAGTGTGTGTGCGTGTGCGTATGTGCGTGTGCGTCCTCTGCGGGGAGTTGCTTGCTGTGGTCCCTTTCGAACCACTGAACCGGGCCATCGACAACCGGCAATCTACGGCCAAACGGTAAGACTAAAACGCCCCCGGTGTCGTTGACATTTTCGGTTTTTTTTTCCTCAGCAAGGGACTGGCTAGCTAGCTTAACCAATCGGGGTTTCTTTCCCCCAGGGTCTCATTTCAGTTACAGTGGTTCCTCTTCTCCGCGGTGCGTTCAAAGTGCCTCCGTTTTTCGGTCGGATCTTGTGTGCGCATCGCCTCCGAGTTGCGTTCGCTCGCATACATGCGTTTGTAATGCTCCGTTAACTACGGCGGATGGCAGTGTTCTTCCCGGTTGGTTAATAATTGACGCGGGGTGCGTATCTTAAAAAACAAAAGCGACGGGAAATCGGCGCAATAATGAGGTCATAAAATCCAAAGGTGGGGCGTTGGCATTGAACGGGAGGAGGAGTGAGGAAGGGGGGGGGGGACCTGGGTAGAGGTCAGGAGTCACAACCAGGACTTGTGACGTGATTTATGTCGGGGGTGGAGGTGGTGGTGGGGGTGTCAAAGGATAAAAAACGACTTTTGTGGGACTATGTTTCATTTGGCGACTAGCCACAGTGAGATAAGTGCGAACGTGTCCCGGTTTTTGCTCCTTTATGACTTGGACGGGATGTCCTATGCTCTGGAGCTGCGCTGGTGATTGGACCTTCACCGCATGAATGGACAGTCAGCACTCAGCCCAGGAACGTTTACTGTGTCGCGGATGACACTGTGGAATTAACCGGCAATTATTACAAGCTTGTATTCGTTTTTTGCATCTTACAGTATTTCCTGACCAATTTGAACATGGCCCTTTATGTGGCAGGTAAGAAGATGAACGAGACAAGTTTTGTACTTTAATTCTTCAAACTAGACTTATCTTGTGGATTCGACAAAAGTATTTTTCTGTTTCTGATGATCCTCGATTGAAGCAAATTTGCATTTAGAATATGCATCGTTGTTTAGTTTTGTTAAAAACATGACACTGGTCCACACCAAATTTGATTCAAAGAAGGCTTTATGTGTCCTTAAATGTGTTTTTGATACTGATTTAAGAAAACGTCTTTTCTTCTCGCACAACACACTTTTTACTTATATATTTTACATTTGACCAATAAAAGCTTGTACAATCCGGACTTGACCGTATGTTATAATTTATAGCTATGACATTTGAGGATAATAATCCACCTGCTGCTGAACATAACCCCTAATTCATATATATTACATATTATATTCTTATTATAATATTACTATGAAAACTGATGTGCCAGAGGGGAAAACATGTCTTTAAGATTACAGCCAAGAAAAGTAATAATTTGGCACTTGGTAGATCAAACTGAGGAACCGCAGCCAAAGCAAACAGTTGACATTCTGTCTCTGTCGCTTGATCTTATGTTGATGATCTGATTTTTTTCGTGGTCCATTTAAAATATGAGAAGAGACAAATTGGCACCATTTCCAAAAGTACTGCCAGTGAGAATGCCTGATAGTACCTCTTTCACACCTCTAGCAGAAGATGCCAGTATGCGCCTGTGGATTCCACACACAGCCCAGCGAAGAAACAAACTGGCCTCCAAATGAATGCCAGTGGGAAAATCTCAATAGCGCCTCTTTCACTGACAACCCAGCAAAGAAAACATTTTTAGGTCCTGTCCCAGAAAGAAATGTAGTGCCTAATGAATAATCGGCCAGCTAATATTAGTTCCTTTAAAATTTTAAATTTCCATTTTTTTTTTTTTTTTTTTTCCAATTACCCATTAGAAAAAG